GTTTATATTTGATAAAAAAATATTTTATCGTTCAAAATAAGGCGTAATCGAGATTAAAATTTAAATGAAATTTTGGTCTTTCCCATATTTGGAGATATCCATTCTAGATGGCGCTGTTGCAAATTATTAAGCCATGACAGAATTACCTGTAGGTCATTAGCGTTACCTTTTTCTTCTTTCTCGACGCTCAAAGACCAGCGTATATTCTTAGAAAATCTTCGCAGCTCTTGCAATGTATAACAAATTTATTAGTTGTTTAAAAATTCATTCACAGTCCGCATACGCTCTGATCGAGTGTGTTTTATTACCTCCATGAACCATCAGAGCCTATATACAAGTATATGCTACAAATCCTGAGGACTGAGTCTAAAAAAAACCTTTTTTGAAAGGCTATGGTTTTAAAGTTACCAACACTATGGCTAAAAATTTATAGATTCTAGAACTTTGAACTCGTCGGAAAAGGTTTATAGGTAACAACGGCAGGAAATGGGAATGGAGCAGCGAACTCGGTGGAAATACTCATATTATAAATGAGAAATCATATGTTTGAAAACAAAAGAAACGAATAATAAGGACCACATATTAAAAACATAAATTTTACGCATACTACCTTTCACGCAGTTTATTTGTAATCGGTTTTCTTTGTATATACATATAGTGTACCAATATATAACAACCATCGGAACTTTAATTAAATTATATATTGACATATATAGACTTAATATTATAATAGAATCTTAATTAAATTATAGACGACAACGTGTGAAACTGCTTCATTGATATTTAATCTTTATAAGAGTGAAAACCGCACACATGTTTAATACAATTGCTTTTGTGTTATAAACAATGCCCTAATGGTGTTATTGTTTTAAATGTAGACCGATGACCTGTTAAATTATCAGCACCTAGCCTACATTATGTTAAACAATCGGTACATTAACCTGAAAGGCGCAACTTTATTTTAAGAAAGATTGTAAAGTTTTTTGCAATTCAAAAGCAATTGAAAATTTACTTTCGCGAACGCCAACAGCTAATATAAATTAAACTACTTTATAAATTATTAAAAAGTCGAAATTGTTAACTGTGATTACATTTCCTGTGTATTTAATTAGTGCTTTAATGAATTAATATTCTATTTTCGATATGTGATAAGTATGACTACATGAACTAAATCTGTAATAACGGTGTAAAGTATTTTTAATTAAGCATATGGAACATTAGTGTTAATTTTAAAGGACATTGATTTAAAGGTACATTTGGACAACATTTGCATTTGGGATTCGTCAGTTCTTATAAGTCAGAAGAGACGGTTTCATCGATTTGGGTACATTAGTTGACAATACCTTGGTAAAAGTTTTAAACTTAAATGTGAGTCAAGTAGCTACTTCAGGAAGAGTTTCGCGGTTCTGTGTGGTGGACATTTAATTAATTTTCCAATTGTCTGCCAGTAGGCGGGATGTACCATGACTGACCAGAATGGCCTCGACCACGATGTAGTGACAGAAGCCTATAGAAAGGTCACTTAGATGTGAGGGACGTTTCTGCACAATCGGCATTGTAAAGCATAAACAGCGCTCGCAGCAACAATTGATAAATAAATATAAGTAAACATTTCAATTCGATCGATTTAAAAACTGTTCATTGCTTGCTAATATAAATTTAAGGTGTATTGTGAAACATCGTGATGATGCCAATTACACATTCGTTTCGTCATCATTATCATGCAGTAGATAATGTTCTTTAAAATAATTGTAAGGAATTTCATTATTCGCTAACACACAGTTGAATGATTAGTTGTGCACAAGCATAACTAATCACTGAACTCGGAAAAATATTGGTGTCGAAAAAAGTTTTTACCAATTTGTAGTAATTTCTAGAGGAGGAAGAACTTATGTGTGAAAACACTTTGTCCACTCTTTTCACGAGTTAAAAGAAGAATAAAAATTTTATACAAAATTTAAAACTTGTGATAACACATTATTCAATTTATGCACTTTAAGACAGGCTTAAAAGAGCCGTCGAAAAATGTGATTGAAGAAAACTAAAAGACCTACAATATTGTGTATAGTTCTAAGAGGCAGTAAATTAATAAGTTCTAAAGAGGCAGAATACATAATATAAGTTACTTTAAAATAATGTCAGTTTTTATTTTGTTTTACAATTATAAGTTAATAAACATATAAACGTATCATAATAATTTTTCCGTTACAACTTGTAATAACACATTATTCAATTTATGCACTTTAAGACAGGCTTAAAAGAGCCGTCGAAAAATGTGATTGAAGAAAACTAAAAGACCTACAATATTGTGTATAGTTCTAAGAGGCAGTAAATTAATAAGTTCTAAAGAGGCAGAATACATAATATAAGTTACTTTAAAATAATGTCAGTTTTTATTTTGTTTTACAATTATAAGTTAATAAACATATAAACGTATCATAAAAATTTGTCCGTTACAACTTCGGAAACGATCGCTATTAAGTTTACGGAAGAATGTTTCTTTTATATATATCATCTCTAGCAAATATTAAGTTTACTTTGTTACTTTGCGGTATAAAAATACTCCTTGGACCATGTTAATTTACTGTCACGTTTATGTCCTGTAATGGCTTTTCTCATGATGCGAATGGGTTCAGTAACAAGATCACTTTTTTATATCTATATTAGTAATTCAATTTCACCTTCTGTAGAAACAGAATTATTCCATTTTATAACGTTACCTACGGCTGTTAATATTATACTACACATAGTGCAAGCGTTTTTTATGTGAAAAGTTATGAAGCAAGAAAGTGTTTCACCTGATGTTAAGTGACTCGCCCATCAAAATCCACAACTCATGAAGGATTAAACATGCGTTGCCAATTTTAAAGAAAGTGGAATCTGGCCACTTCGATCACCAAATGAAACGCGAAAGTATAGCACTTTCACTTCACGCTGGTCGTCTGTAAAGCAGTGGTACTTTTCCGCAAGAGCCTGCACATTCGTGCAACAGCTAAAGCTGCTGCGAGAATCAACCACTGGTAAGGACTTTCCTTAATATATTATATACTTAATTGTGAGAAATGGGAGTGTGCGAAAGAAGTAGTTTCATCATTTACTTTGATCTTTATACATTAAACACCTTTACATTCGTAGCTATGAATGTTTATTAGCGTTTTAGGATGTTTAAAACACCGGCCAAGTGCGAGTCACACTCGCGAACGAAGGGTTCTGTACCATCTACAAAAACGGCAAAAAAAATCATGTTTGTTGTATGGGAGCCCCACTTTTTTATTTTGTTTTTTAGTATTTGTTGTTGTAGCGGCAACAGAAGTAAATATCTGTGAAAATTTCAACTGTTCAACTATCACGGTTCATGCGATAGGAACCGGTGAGAGACGGACTGACAGACAGACAGACAGACAGAACAGAGTCTTAGTAAAAGGGTCCCGTTTTACCCTTTGGGTACGGAACCCTAAAAAGCTTGGGCATGGATTTGATCTAATAAGTTTAGCTCAAATCCATAAAACTTAAAATATATAGGTACTATTTTGTTATGCATGGTGAAACATTCACACAGACGTACTGAAAGAAAATCTAAAAGAAATCGTAAATAAAACTAAATCCCAAGAGTGTAAGAAAAGTTTTTTAATGCTCATAATTTTGTTGCCTTTTGTATCTAAGGTGGGTGAGTATAAAGGTTTAAAGTTCCGAAAGTCTCTGCATTGATATCGATATATTACATTTTGTTAATAGGAATACAAATTAGAATTAAAACCTCAAATATTAAAATCTAAACAACTCGAATTTATTCAGATTTACATACTATCAAAACTAAGAGGAAATGTCAGCCGAGTTGGAAAATTTGTAAGGAAAAACAAGGTATACTTAGGACACTTCTATTACTGAAGATTCTAATAAAGGTGTAATAGTAGCCAGTAGTTCAAGGTACTCGAGAAACCAGATACGTATTCACTGCTATAAGTAAATACATGACGCACAAATTCAAATTCAAAATATCTTTATTCAAATAGACGCATTGTGCGTTCTGAATTTCTTAATAAAAATTGATAGATAAGATCGTAAGTAAGTTACCACCGGTTCGGAAAGAACTTTCTATTGAAAAGAGACCTCGTTTGAGAAGAAACTCAACATTCGCTCTTTTTTTATATAAAACACCACAAACATAACTACAATTAATAAAAAACTTTAATTTTTGAATAAAGATTTATTTACCTTTAGTGTATATTAAAATTTGTAGAAAAAAGTACGAAGACGAAATTATAGTTCAGATAAATGGGAATTTTTATTGAATTTTTTAAACAATATAAATATGTAGCAGTTCAACAAATCGTAAAATTCCGCGGATTTTAATTATTGATTTATTAAACAGTGGTCTTTGACCTTGAATGGCGGCTCATCAAATTCGAACTGGTAAAACAACCTTGACATCCGGAAGCGAGAAATAAAAATTTAACTTCGTTTTAGGTCATCAAATCGCATAATAGCGTAGAGAACGAGTTGATATTATAAAAATTTAGCACCCACGCACGTTAGCTACGTAGGTAAGCTTCGCAAATATTTATTCTTGGTTTTCGTAGCCATTAATGTATGTATTGTGTATCTTGTATTAATTGATGTTTTTTCTTTCAGTCCCGAGACTATTAAAGCTTCATCTGACAGTATGTATTGTATAACAACTAAATACCATTGTAGCATAATCAATTAAATGATGGTGTTATTAGTATTGGCCTGAAAACTGTGCGTAAATATTTATATGTTCAATACAATAAAATAATGCTCGAGATCCAAATACGGCCCTGCATTTGCTGTTGTTGCAGACTCCCCCTGCAGTTTGCAATGGCTAGACAAAACTGCGTCTCTATAAAAGGGACAGATGATTAGATGGCTAAGTACAATCCGGCGCACACGCCGCCGACTAACGCCACATGGGATATCACATCGCTCGGGAATCCTAAGTACATCAGTCATTAACCACGAGTTTTCATACATACAACATAATGGTGAGTTTGGATTTCTGTCCTACTATTACCGACGTAGTTAGTGTTTGGACGATTTATAATTAATATAATTTTTAGTTATGTTAAATATTAAGACATACTTAAAAGGATGTCACAAATACATAAATGTATTTCCATCGAATTTTCGCAGACGTTAATATTAAATATTATTGACCTTTAAATGATTTAAGTTTATAATTTGCATAATAAAATTATATGATAATAAGATTTTTAATCATGAAATTCTTTCTCTTTTTATTGATTTTGCGTTTTAAATAACACAGTACTTTTAAATATTCATGTTATGCAATTTACTAAGTGGTATGTAGATTACTATTGAGGGCCGCCCCAAATCCACAATCTCTATCTTTTTTTAAAGTAGTACAAAGGTCAAGGAACTTTACAGTACTTTCGTATTACATATAACACTAATAATGCCACTAGAGCTAAAGAGGTGGTTTCATGTTGTAATAAATATAGTTTTCTACATAAAAATGTTAGTTATGATAAAGTCAACAAAGACACATATTTTATAAAGTAATAAATAATAATCATGGTTGTAAATAAAAATTGATATTTGATCTTTGACAGTTATGCAAATCTGTTTGTCAATTTTTAATGCATAATATATATTAGATTTATACGGATTCGAATAATAGAAAAAATACCGAAAAGCTAATATCACATTGAGGATGCGCAAATGCAACAGAGTATAGGGCATCCGGGCTGCTTAATAGTTGGATGCATTATGCAATGTATGAACAGTGCATTAAATGCCTACAATACTCAACCTTTGCAAACGACCGCGCTATTTGCCTTAGTGACAAGCGACGCATCGTTTCAGCGCAAAACTTTACCTTTTGAGGTCGCGGTGCACATCGACCGAATTGTAACTAAAACCGGTGACATTTTATATAATTATACTCAAAGACGCGTCATACGACAACGTCGTTGAAATAAAATGCTGTAAACCTTAATGTATACTTCTAATGCATACACTGATACAGTAGGCGAAAAAAGACGTGTAGCGTTAAAGACATTACTATAAGTTTTATTAATGAGTAAGTTAAAATTTCGTGTTACGCTGCGTGAATTATTCATGACTAGAAAGAAATACTCGGGACTACTTAGGCACTCTGTCTAGCGAAAAGTCACGGTCTATACAGTTAATTACAGTCTATTACAGCCATAATTGGAGAAAAAATATGTGACAATTAAAAAAAAGCCAATTAGGTTCCAATTTTTGTTTATGTTTATTTGTCGTAGTGCTATGTGGGTGGAGTGATTTAAAAATTATGTCAAATAGTTTATAGTATTTGTTTGCCTCAATAATTGTCATTCAATTTAACTTTACTTTTACTAATACCGTCTTAGTCCGTCCCTGTGCTTCGCTCGAAGCGTGCGAGAGCTTAATTAGGCGCACGCCTTTTGTTTTTGCACGTAGGACATTGTCTTTTGGAGGCGACTCACAAATTCTGTGTCATGATTCTCACAACTAAATGCACTTGCAAAACGAGCAGAATTAGACAAACCACAGCCAACAGTATTTTGCAAAGGACACATAACGTAACGTTAAACATGTCTTCAAAGTCCCTATTGCTAATGAAAGTTGATGTATGACCATGTGGTTACCACAATGATCGTAGCAGAAAAAGTCTATTATTAGTATCATACTAGGTTAGAAAGGTCTATACGGGTAGAGTAGGAAGTAATCGTAATACAGTAACTCGTAAATACAGTAGTTTTTGATAACAGTAAAAGTTAACCGCTGACAATGGTATTATTAAAAAAAAATGTACACACGTTATTTTAGGGAGATATAACCTATTATATTAACCATGTCAACAACCTTACAACCATTTTTAATGTATATTATAGTAGACAGATTTTATTATAATAACTGTAATGGCCTATGTTAATTATATTTAAACGCATCATAACTTGTACTTCTTAATTATCTCATAAAACGACCGGCTGTTATAGTTCATTAAAATACAGTATTTCTTTGAATTATGATGCTACGATATAAACTTAGTGGTTCTCATATTATATAAAGTTTAGAGCAGAACTTTAAAACCATAATAACATTGTTATTAAGTCACATACCTCCAATACTGGTTAGGGCAAAATCAAAATGGTTAAATCTGACCGCATTTTATAATAATTTTTTTAGACAACTCTCTTTGACTCAAAATTTCACTTTTAATAATGACCTCCTTCTTTGTTAAACACACATAACATTTTTTGATTATCATTATTAACAAGATTATCTGCGTCGTTTAGTCCGCAGATTCTAATAGATATTGTATCAACTTCAGCAATATTAGAAAATATATAGAAGGTATCTAAATCTGTATCTAATAAATAGAGTAGAGACGTAACAGTTCTGTTCTTTTTCGCCTTCTTTTGTCGTCCTATTTTATTTTAATATTTAATTACGAGATTTACAGTTATCAACAGAAATTTTTGGACCCAGCCTTTTTTCTTGGCTTTATTAAAGCACTGATCTTTTGTTTTGAATTGTAAGTACATGGTTTTCAGTTACACAGTTAAATAATGTATAGGGGTGGAATGTTTTCGTCTCATATTCATTAATGATCACGAGTGCCGAAAAAAAGTAGTGGGCAAAAACTGTTGACAAGAAGAAAAGAAAAAAAAAAATGTAGAAAGTATGCTCTTTTTCGCCGCAGCAGAAAGCGAATTTCCGATTCGCGACCAGACGCTTTATACTAAACTAAACGGCTGATTGTCACACTGACAAAAATCTTCACGTCTTTTATCTACATCGTTTTTTCTCATTTCAAGCAATGCTTGGCACATCTATTGTTATATCCTTTACAGCACACAAACCAGTACCTATATATTTTCGATTAAATTTATTTTACGCAATTGCGTTAATTTTACGTCAGATAGTGTGAACTTTTTGCCGTTGATTGCGGAATTTAACTGTATTTGAGACATTAAATACTCGTACGGACTTGTAATAACAAAATGAGTAATTCCTGTTTTTGCCGTGCCGAGGCGGCATAATCATCATCATACAATATTAAAAACTAATTTAACCTCCAGCTTAAAGTGTAAGACGAATATAAATAAGTAAGTATTGTTTAATACCTTTGCGGTTTAGTTATGAAATAAGCGCAATAACCTTTGTAACAATATCCAGTGAGTCAATAACAACGACTTAGGCTCTACCAACATATCAATAAACCACAAATACGAATGAGCTCGCTGTATAAAATTATTATTACATGAGACGTAACGTAATAGTATTTTTTGATACCTATATTGCACACAATCTTTATTCATTTATTTCATCCAGAATTTCAGGCCTGTTTATTTTGGGTACACTATATTGTGCATGCATTATGCATATTCACAAAGTTAATTGTAATTGTAATTACCTCTTGTGGGGCATAAAAAGTAAATATTTAAATTCATAAAACTTTTGTAATAATTTCATAAAACGATAATACTACGATTGTCTGAACCTTGAATATTGTAGTAAATGTATCTATATATATAATCACGTAAGTATCAAATATGTTATTTGAGAGTGAGCATGCAGGTTAAATGTATAATTCTCAGGTACTCAATGCGGCGTGCCGACGGACGCTGCTACTTGCAACAGGCTTTGTCTTACGTTAGAAAATTAGCAACTGTATTAGTACCTCCTTCGACACGATTTTAAAACAAAAATACTTTATTATATAAGGGTTTATAATAGTTCTGCGAACATCGACAAAGAGCGATGTAGAGTGTATGAAGAATTGACACAATGACTTACATACGTACTTTTAATAATTTTGGACAGTGATTAATACTTTAATTAATAGTATAAAACAAAGTCGTCCCCCTGTCTATCTGTCCCTATGCTGTATGCTTAGATCTTTGAAACTTTGCAACGGATCTTGATGCAGTTGTTTTTTTCTAGATAGAGTGATTCAAGAGAAAGATTTGTATGTTTAATACAAAGTACTCGTGTGAAGCCGGGGTGGGTTGCTAGTATGAAATGTAATGACAAATATGTAATAAAAATATCAATTAAAACAGATCTCTCGTTTTCTACTATGCGATGATTTGTTAAAATTTGAATAGTTTTTGTAACTTTATAAATAACAAAGGATAGGGAAGTACTCACACACTTCCCTATCAGTGGGGAGTCTTCCGGATACAAGTAAGCAAGGCATGAAGGCAATCATGGTATTCGTATCTTAAAGCCTTCACCTATATATAATGTACAATAGTCTTCATTTTATAGTTTTAAATATGTAAGTCATCGGTGCCTTTATTTATCAAATTTATCCTTTATTCATCAAATATGTTTAATATTAAAAGTAAGAGTGAAGTGTAATTAAATTTTAGTTTAATAATTAACCTTAAAACATGTGTAAATTAAAAAAAAAAACATTTTTCCGGTTTCTAGAGATGTGTTTGCTGAATTTATAAAATGTTATTCACGGATACAACCCATTCACAGAGTAATAATATGCCTGCGTTTTAGCAAATAGTAACGACTTTATTTGTATTTTTGCTCAACTAATATAGCAGGCGTTATAACTGAGCGCACTATGTAAATATAGTTTTTGCGCTCCTAGCGATAACATTTACAAAAGATAATAATATCAAATAATTCATAGCGTAGGATTTAATTTTATGAAATTCATTACTTCTGGGGTTTATGTAACGCAATGGATATTATTCAATGAATTCGGTTATAAAGAAGGTTTCTGTATTTGTTATGTGTACTGTATCGTTTAATACCAATCATATTAACATGTCAATGATGTGTGGTAAATATTATATATATATATTTTTCTGTAAATCTTTTAATAATGTTATATTTTCAATAATTCTATTTTATTTACGGCATCTTTGTTTTGTTTACAATTTTTTTATGTGATAAGATGACAAGCGAGCTGGCGGTTTATCTCATTTTAAGTCAAGACCGACGCTCACCGACATTTGCATCACCCCTAGGGGTGCAGATGCGTTGAATTATAATAAAGTGCACCCAGCTACCTTCTTTGAGCTTGTGGTACTTTGCTGAACGGAGGTCATTTTACTTATCCGGACGGACCTATCTATATATATCAAACTGTAGTATAGCCCTACCACAGTCAAAGCATAGTGCAGTACGACTATATTCATGAAATTTATTTTTAGAGGGTGCTATTCCTTTTTGCCATTGTCGCGCTGGCTTCAGCAGCACCACAGCAGCCTGAGAAAGTCATTGCGATTCTTAAGCAAGATTTTGATCAGCAGCCTGATGGGTCCTATGTTTACAGGTACCTCTTTTTCTCTTCAATCTTTTGCATGGAAGAAGCTGCCACGCGTCCACATCTACCAGTCCTATGGTAGATGGCTTGCTTGCCTGATAGACAGTTGGACCTATTACATTAATCAGATGATATGAAAAAGTGCAATTACTTATAATTTATGTTGTTCTTCTGATAGTCCATAGCCATTATCAGGAAGGGTTCTTGCAATTGTAACGCAGTTTTCAAATTTTTGTTGTTTTTAATTTTTACTTGAAAGAATTAATTGTATCTATTATCTATTTTATTGTTTCTTAGTTCTTTAGATTCGAGTGCTTCATAAATAATTTTTACTGTGTACTGTTTGAAAAGCTCCGTGATAGGTCAGTGTTTCATATAGCTTAGAATGCGGGCGCTCGCTTTTAATTCAATATACTCGAGTTCAAATCTCGTTGCCAGCACCAATAAAACTGTCAGTTTTAAGTGCTGAAGTTTGAGTATTATCAAGTGCTCTCTGGTGAAGGAAAACATCCTGTGAACCCTGCATATTTTCGACATAATAACAAAAAATAATATTTCGAAGATATGTTAAATCTGACAATCCGCAGTGGGATCGCGTCCTAATACTCTCTGTGCAGAGGAGGTCTTTACTCAGCAGTGGAACTCGTAGAGGCTGTTACTTTACGTACTGTTTGAATGTCCAGCTATGAAACTGAGAACGGAATAAAGGCAGAGGAGACTGGAACTCTGAAAAAAGCCTCCGGTCCAGACAGCAACGACGTTATTGTGGCTCAGGGAGGGTTCAGCTACACCGCACCCGACGGGACCGTGATAAATCTCAACTACGTCGCCGACGACGAAAATGGTTTCAAACCAGAGGTATTTGGAACATATATATAAATTATTGCACAATCCGATTTAAAAATTTGTGCACTATTAACAGATTTATCACAAGTACAAAAATAAGAAACATTTTTGAATGTTTCATCGCAATGTATATTACTAGCGCAGTTTTTGAGTATTTAAGAACACCTTAAATTTTTTTCGTACCTTTATTTATATATTTTTGAGTAATCTTTCATGATGTTGTTAATAAAAAATTACTAATAATATGACTAATCAAAAAATATGTGTCTACTAATGCAGAAGCACTCAGGAGATTATTAAATTTGTTAAATATTTACTAAGACTTGTGGATAAAATATTTGCAAAGCAAGCAACACTGAAAGACTGGTAATGACAAAACCTTGAGAAAATGTTTTATATCAAACATTAGCTAAGAATGTTCTTATTTTTATTTTAGGGTGACCATTTACCAACACCGCCTCCGATTCCACCGGCAATTCAGAAAGCGCTGGACTATTTGGCTACTCTTCCACCACCACCACCATCTAGGGCCTGATCAAAATAAGGGTTACAAGGACGACTCATGCAAGACCAAGCTATATATAACATTAATGATACTCGTTTATTGTCTACACGTCTGTGTTAAAGCCGCTTTTTAAATAGAAAACATTGTTACACATACACATTGTAGATAAATTATTTCAAGCGTCATGTGTTATGATACATAAATTTTTACAAAGGGGCATTTAGCATATTACTTTTATAATAAAAGCAGTAGAAAAAAGTAAATAAAAATGAATGACCGATGAACTGTGATAAAGAAAATATCGGCATAAATTGTTATATAAACATATCTATGTATTATTTATTGAATAAATGCAAAATCAGTGCCAAAGATGCATTGTAAATCATGATTAAATGTTTCATTACTTACAAGGATCCGACTGTTAATGTACACAGTTTATTTATTAGCATTACAAGTGTCCACCGCTTCTGTCAGAAGTGTTAACCGCTGAGGTCATTTCCTATGTAGCCTATAATTTACCTCGAAAACATACATAATGCGTAAACAGTGTTTGTTTCATACGATTGATTCAAACAAATGCCTTTATTGCGTCATGTTTATTGTCATCCTTGAGAATGAGTATTAAAAATCTATCAAGATTCTATTTCGAAATCGTATCAAAGAACCTTATGATGAGCGCAATAAATATAAAAACAATAAAAAACAACAGTTTGCATTAACATGCCCACATATTTTAATATTAGCATTTTCTACTTTTGTCCACGAGATGAACTAATAGGTTGGGGAAAAAGTTTCTTCGCATGTTATATGAAAACTCAAAACATTTTTTAATAAAGTTGATTTACATTTAACTAAAGTAGGTGTAGGTGCCATTTTGTTCGATAACATTCTGCCATCTTGTAGGTAGGGACATGATCCCATTGCTATAGAAATTCTGGGGCTTCCGATCATAAAACTGCGACAAGTGGTTTTGTCAGTCCTCGCGTGATGTTAACCTGACACTGTCTAAAAAATTCTGAAGAGACCGTAACAAGTAGAAATTTGAAGGTGCAAGGTCAGAACTATACGACGGATGCATTACCACCTCCTAGTGAAATTCTTTTATTTTTTTCTGAGTGGCTAAAGATGTGTGAGGTCAAGCGTTATCATGACGAAAAACCATACTCCTTCTGTTGATTAATTTCGGCCGCTTTCTTTCAACTTCTTGCTTTAATCTCATCAGTTGTTCGCAGTAGAGTTCAGAATCAATAGTCCTGACAGGCGGTAACAGCTCATAATTAATAATGCCCTTCCAATCCCACCATACACACAGCATTACCTTGTTGCGAGATAACCCGGGTTTTGCTAGAGTTTGTGAAGCCTGAACAGCCTTTGACCACGACCTTTTTCGCACGTTCAAGTCGTAAGTGATCCACTTTTCATCACCAGTTATCAGGTTTTTCAAAAATGGGTCGGTTTCATTACGTCGTAATAAAGAATCACAAATGAGTACACGGTTCATTGGGTTTCTTTCAGTGAGGTCAGTGGCATCAAAATATCGAGCTTTTGTGAGTTTTTCAAATGCGCCAAAACTGTTTTGTGGTCAATTCCCAATCCTTCAGCTAAATCGAAACTTTGCTCCACTTTTTAAAAATGGCATTAATTTTATCCGTAACAGGAACGCCCAGAGCGAGGTGCATATTTGACATCAAAATTTCCGGATTGAAAACGCTTAAACCAAATTTTTGCTAAACTCACAGACACTGCATTATATCCATAAATATCACAAACTTTATTGGCGGCTTGCGCTGCATTTTTACTTTTTTTTTAGTAAAATTTTAAAATGTATCGAATTTCTTTATTAGAATCACTCATATTAAAAGTAATAAAAACAAATGAAAATCACACATTTTCCTAATTTGAATTTGGAATTATCTTTTTTAAAATTTAAACTTTTTAATGATACCAAAACCAGCCAGATACAAATGGTATAGCCAAAGAGATTATATTATGATAAGTACATGCAGTGCATGATAGCTCAGTGTCCGGGCGCTCGCCTTTAATTCAATATACTCGAGCAACCTGAGTTCGATCCCCGGTGACGGCACCAATGAAGTTTTTACTTTAAGTGCTGTCTTATCACGTGCTCCGCGGTGAAGGAAAACATCGTGAGGAAACCTGCATATTTTCGAAATCATAACAAAAAAAAATATTTTGAAGATATGTGAAGTAATGTGGACTATGCCCTGATACCCTCTATATAGAGGAAGCCTTTGCCCAGCAGTGGGACATGTATAGGCTGTTACTTTACTTTACTTTTTACATGCATACTATTTGCGATGAGTTTTTCCCCGAACTAATATAACAAAAGAGATGAGTGCATGTGTTTATTTTATAAATTAAAACTAACGATAAAATCAAATTCGTTCTATGTGACCACAGAACGTTATTCTACGCACGGTGCGATTTGTGTGTGTTACATTACGTAATGAATTACTGATTTAAGTTTTAATAACATCATTTTTTTTTCTATAATATTTAATGTTTTTATTTTAGTTTTATCTTTTATATTTCATATAAATGTTAAAATATTTATTGCAATTTAATAACCACTCCATCATTTTCCTTTGTTTAATTTTTATTTAACTGCTATCAAACGCTCACAATTTATTTTTCATTGTTATAAACACATTTTAATATATGTAATTTTTTTTCGTTCTACCCGTAGCACCCGTAGACACCATGATACCTCTCATTTATTTTAAACACTTAAACTATAACAAAAATATGTCGTGCCCGAAAAGAAACGGAAAGACAAATAATAAGGCTTTCCGATTTACTTGAGATTGTTTCAAGTCCATATAAACTTTATTCATAGATTTGTAATTAAATTATGGGAAGCAAATGGTGTAATGTTTGGCATTTTCTGCAAGTATACATTGGAGGTAAAATCTAAGTTATTTTCTTTTAGTGCCCTTAACCCTTAAAATGTCAATAAGGTAATGCGAACTTAGCAATTGCGCCTTCGAGTCATCATAAAATCAAGATAATGATAGATGAAATTTCAAAAAAGCTATATAATATTATTATTAAAAGCTATCTATGTGATATTAAGAGGTTTTAAAATATGAAAGAAGATTATGAAAAACTAAAAGTGGAAAGTAGATACCGCTCAAAGTCGAAGTAAACATTTCTTTATTCAGTAAAGGTTTCTTTTAAGCTCTTATTAAACGGCAAAAACCTTCGACCGGTTCACTAATTTAAACCTGTCCAGAGAAGAACCGGCAAGAAGCTCTGCGGTTTATTCTTAAATTAATTTCTTTTTAGTCCATCCAAAGGTTGGCTGGCAGAAATTACTCTTAGTAATAAAGCCGCTCATTGTACCCATCACTTCTACATTAAGTTTTAATTTTTGTTTGTTTTATTTTTGGTGTGCAATAAAGTATATTCATTCATTCATTCATAATTATTTAGGCATAATATCAGCAGCAACCAGGGGACGTTCAAGTACAGAGCAAGAATCATGTACAAACATCCTTGGTACCACATCGCTGGTATGCGCCTACAAACGATTCTATAAACCATTTACATTCACTATGTCTTTACTCTTCATAATTAGCGACCACATTGACGTGATAAAGCCATGCAGTTACTTTACATGAGTAAGGTTATGTGTCGCCATGTTAGAAAATGTATTTCGACTGATATTACCCATCTACTTACTACGTGATTTTTGCAATTCATAATAGCTCCCTAGATGTAATAAAACTTGGCCTGCCAATTCGTGCTACAGCCGAAGCTGCTGCGTGGCCCTACCACCGTTAAAACATGAGCAGAGCAATATAGGTTATTAAAGCAGTTGATATATAAATATGCTAGTCTTATAATCGAACTTTTTTTAATACATGAACGCACAGTATACAAATTGAATTATGTTGTCAGTCATATAAAATACAATAAAATAATGTAATAAAATCAGTTGGTCATAAAATTAATTCGTTATCATCAGCTCTTAATGTATGTGCATAATTGCAAATTGAGATATAGGATATCTAAAAATAAAATTCAAAAATAATTGAAAGATACAGTTTAATTCATAATGACGTACGGTACCTACATAAACTACATTTGATAGTGCTAGACTTTTACGTTTATATCCGATGGTCAATATCTTTATTGTATATACAGCGTAAGATACTTTCATTTCATTTAATATTCTTTATTGCTATAATCTTATTGGTCAGTCCCATAGTTAGACATTTGAAATACAGCAGTTAATATCTTTTACTGTTTCGGCATGGGAAAAATCACCCTTACTATAATAATATATCTAATAATTATGTAAATCTAGTTCGGTCTGTAGATCGCCAGACAGTTCCTTTTGCTCGAATTAAAAAAAAACCTGCTTGGTAAACGAGATTGCAAGGTCAATAATAATATGCCGCTTTTAATGATTTTCAAATGAAGGAAACAACTTCTACGAGAAGCTAAAATTTAATTTAGAACAAGATCATAAATATAATACGCAGTCAGTGTGAAAAAAGTATTGACACAAACCGTTTAGAAGAATAATCAATCAGTTTACACAGGGAGCATATTTGCAATGTTTGACAGGACGAAGCAAAATATTAATCTTGACAAATTGGTTGCGGTCGAATGTGTAAAATTAATATTTTACCGATAGAATGGACGATAAGACCACATTGGATGTATTGGTGCTAGTTAATTGACAAAAGTCAATAGACTAAAGCGACTGTTGTCAATATTGTAAATATTTTATTGTAGGGGGTTTTATAAAGTTACTTATTTTACGTCAATTTTTGTTTGCTTAGTAAATATGAGAAGCGTTGTTTTAGTTTTTCAAATCAATTGTTTTGCAAAAAGTAAATAACTAATGTCTAATGTTTTATTTTTATTTAATAATAATGTTGATGTAATGAAAAAGCTAGGGCAGTCAACGTATATTACATTTATTTCAGTTTTACTTAAACAGCTAGAAGTATTTAGTTACGGTAAATTGTAAAAACTAGTCGAAATTCCTTATGGGTTCTGTAACCGGTTGAGGTGTAGTCTTAGTTGCAAGATAGGCCAAGGCACGTGCTATCTCTGGTGGTATAGGAGGAGGCGTGGGGAGATGTGCACCGGTTGGTCTATAACCATTTTCATCTGCAGTGTATGATATACTGTAGTCTTTACCCTCTTTGTCCTACAAAAATAAGAATATTTAATTTATATATACATAAAGTGAATTGCCTGTTTATGTTCATTTTCACAAATATTATAATATGAACTTACGCCTGTCTATGTAATTATTTTAATGTACTTATAGGCTGTTGTCCAGTGCAAGTATAGGCTTATTATTAATATCATCTACTCACGGTATAAGAAAAACCTCCTTGTACAACCTCACCAGTTTCATTATTTATGGTCTTTAATTTGCCTTCCTCAAATACTTTCGTGCCGTCACCGCCTTCGAACCTAAAAACATAAAATACGATTTATTTACATAAAATGTATTATTATTTTTTAAATAACTGTCAGAGACAGTTACCTATAATGAAAGTTACCACTGTGCGAATACACGAAGTTTTCTTCCGTTACTATGGGTATCGTCGGTCCTCGCGTTCGTGTCCTTTTATGACTTCTCTCGGTGGTTACTTGGGGTTGATATTTGGTTGTTGTAGCCGGTGCTATTTCCGCTGTAGATGTTGAAATAGAAGAAACCGTAGTAGTCTTGTTTTCTTCATTTAATTTTAGTGTATTGCCATTAGATTGCTCTGTTTTTTGGTTATTTTCATCTGCTTCCAGCTTTTGCAGGCGTCTTCTAATTTGCTTTCGCCTTTGAATGATATTGTTAGACTTTTCTTCACTTTCCTGTTGAGAACGCTGCCCATTAGCATCTGTTTCGTAGACGACATTAACCGGGATTTGCAAATTTTTCTTACTATTCACTCTCGAAACTAATGGTTTTCGTTCTGCGTTCTTCTTTACCCCTCGCTGTGTGGGTGTAACAACTTCACTTTTCGGTTCTTGTGCGGGGTCCTGAGTTTCCTTAATATTTTCCTTTTTAGTAATCGAGACCTCTATTGCGTCAGTTTTTAGGGGTTCATCAGGAAGTTTAAGCGTTTTGCTTTCGCGTGCATCTCCACTATCGTAGACCACTGTCACGGGTACAGTATCAGTAGATTCTATCGATGGTGGGTGATTGTATCTATAACGACTACGTTTTGCATCCAGTACCTGTAGATTAAACAAACTAAATATTGTAACAACTAATATAAAATTAAGTCGTAAAAACATCTTTAATTTAGATAAAACTTGAATATAACTTCCAAGCAGCACTAACGCGCTTGAGGCTCTAATGAAGATGAGTCACATCTGGCAGATAAATGTATCTTATACCACTAGATAACCGAATTACTTGTCTGACAAGAATAAAAAAACAGTTTGGTCGTAGCTTTATTGATAGTTTATTTTGTTTTAGTATGACATCAACTCATTGCATATTCGTTCAAATATGCGGAAGTAAACATTGAATTAATATTTGTAAACATTAGATGTATTTCAATATAACATAATAAAAAAGTTAATAATATATTCCCAAATGGAGCCGACGTGAAATACTGAAGTTTCAGGATTTTTTTCTGGTCAAACGAACGTTAAAACCAAATTTAGACAATATGCATTCTCATTTAGAGTCTATTTTAATCACACGAATCGTCACCCTTCGTGTCATATTGTTGACACCTCGTCTGTTGTGCAATTTTCTGAAGAACACATCAGTCTGCTGCTAAGGTTGAAGTATTTAGCGTCCGCTTAGGCTCATATCACCGGAAGGCGGGGGGAGGATAGTGTAAATAGATGAGTCTTACATATAAGTGGTTATGAAGTCTGGAGCATTCATTCATCAGTAAATTTTGGGAGTGATTAGGTATAAATCAAAATGATTTATCAGATAGTTTTTCTTACATTCGGGGTGGCGTGTGTACTGGGAGCTCCAACAAGCGCCGTGCCGTCAGATAAGCAGCAACCGACTGTCATACCAATAATCTCACAATCTGAGGAATTACAATCAAATGGCACGTATTCATTCAGGTAATACAAAATATTTCTTTAAATTTCATATTACGATGTTCAGCCTATTGCTACGCAAATAGCTACAGTAGCACTTTACTGCCACTTAACAAGTAAATAGTGAAAATTAAGAATAATAACGAGTATTAAAGTAATATTCGTAATTATGTTAAATCTTATGACATTGTTTAACATAAAACGTGCATTTAAAAGAAACCTTATTTAAATGTGAAAAAATACTCTTAAAACTGTTTGTTACATCTATGGTCCACCATAGTGTAAGTATGGTTGCAATATGGGTAAAAATAATTTGTAAATTAAAATTATAGTTGCGTTATGCTTTTCCTTTTTTAATCATTTGGATTGCATGAGCGACAATTACTTATTTCAGAGGTAATATAATTATGAAAATAATTGACCTTATTATAATAAAGGCGAAAATTTATGTGGAGAGCAATGATATATTTGATAGTTTATACCCACAGTTAACAAGATTATAATTCGATTGAACTATAGTCGGATAAACATGCGAAATGTTCATTTAAAAACTCTTTTATATATTATTTAAAAGAGTAATTAAATATTTAATATTATAGCCCTTTAAAAATATTCAAATACTCTGTCTAAAACTGTTAAGGGCACTCTCCTCGCGGTGCTGTGTTCATCATTTAGCAATTTAATTGATAGAAAATGTTGATTATTTACATTTTTAAAGCTGTTTTTACTCATTTAAAAACTTTTTAGTTATGAGACTGGAAACGGTATAAAAAGGGAAGAAACATCATACGATAAGGTATTACCAAAGGCAGCAGGCCGTAGTCACAACAGCGAGGAAGGAGGGGAAAGTGACGAAAGTGATGAAAGTAATGAAATCCACGTACAACAAGGCTCATATTCTTACACTGCACCTGATGGTTCTTTAATTACTGTAAGGTAAGTTAGATTATATTATAAACTGTTTCGTGGATCCTCATTTTGATCTTCATTTATTAGTTTTACTACATTTATTTCTCTATTAACAGATACATTGCTGATGAGAACGGCTTCCGGCCTGTTGGTAGTCATTTACCAAGGGCACCGAGCCCAATTTCTACGGCTTCCAATGAAAAGACTGGCCGTACATTAAAACAGCAAGATAACGATGATTCGGAATCTGTGCAATCCCTGAGTGTCCAACCTTCTCAAGAAACCATTCCCGCTATTGCGGCACGCTCAGCTACAGAGCCACCTCAAAATAAACCAGCAGAGATAACCCCAATGGATTCTTCGAAGAACGAAAAAGAACCCGAATCTGCAACGAAATCTTCACCATCTGTAGAAAAATCTGAACCTGTTACTACAATTAGTTCTCAACCTGAACAGAAAACTGAAACAACTGAGTCTGCAACAGCAGTGAGTTCACAATCCAATAATACATCTGAACCTACTGAATCTGTATCGACTTCCATGCCTGAAGACAAGAAAGATGATTTGGAACCTGAGAATAAGACGGAATCATCCACTCCAACTGTGACTGAAGAAAAAACATCAAAATCGCCAGACTTAACAGAATCCACTTCATTTGCATCGAATGAAAGAACAACAGAACCCTCAACAGGAGAATCTGCTACAGTTTCTGATGCGCTGACTACTTCAGTCTCTGATAACACTACTACCGAGCCTAGTGGTTTAATAACAACAACTGTCGTAGGCAAAGAAATAACCGAGAATTCGGAAGCCACAACGGCATCCACAGAACCTATAACACAAGAAGTAACCGTATTACCTACTTCAACTGAAACCGCGATAACTGAGGAAGTAAGCACTTCTTCCTCTTCAGCCATATAAATATTGTATAGAAGTTTTTTCTTTGTGACAACTGAAAATTAACTTTCTTTACAGCCTTTGGCAAACTCTTCTGGAATTTCTCAATCAGTACGGGTGATAACAAATTATGTTATATTTTATATTGACATCAGAAATGTGATATATCAATGTTTCAGTTATATTAATAAGCTTTAAAATATATTTTTTAATATTACATGTAATAATTAAACATTTCTTTATCAAAATTAGAGACATTTAATTTATTTTTTCTTATATGTTGACTTTAATTGTAAATTAAATGTAATTTTAGCAGTGGGTAATTTCTTGAATTAGCCACTTTCAATTAAAAATAAGTCAATCGCGGAAATCATCTGTGAACATGTTGCTTTTTAACTTAAGGGCCTGTAATTTTTCATTGTTACGTCCATTAGAAAATTGTGTCCGGCTATTTTAATGAATTTAATTCGGTAAAATATTTTCTGGGTGATTTTTATCTACAATAAATCAACAAGTAAATTTTAAAATAACAATTTGTTAACATGATCTAAAATTTATTTAAATTTAATTTCAAAAGAGATACAAACTCTGTTTCAACAAATAATCCCCTGTATTCACGTGTAGGAGGTAAAGTGATGAGGTACTGAGGTAAACTACACAGCGGGACGTTTATAAATAAATTGATTACACAGCATGTTGTTAAAAATGTATATTGTATGTCTTTGAGTGCTTTTTTTCTTTTTTTTATGTGAAAAGTTGCCAAACGAGCAGACGGTTTACCTCATTGTAAGTGAATACCGCCGCCCATGGACATCTGCTACACCCGAGGGTTACAGATGCGTTGACAACCTTTTGAAAATTGGGCTCCGGCTACCTCACTCACCAGACGAAACGCGAAACTATTTGTCACACTTCCACTTTACGCTGGTCTTCTGTGAGGTCGTGGTACTAACCCGGACGGGCCTGCCCATATAATATATATAATACTATAACACCATAGGGTTATAGTAGCAGGGTCTGAAATATACAATATTTTACCTGACTGATCTAGAAGGAGGGTTATTTTTTCCGAGAGTATGTATGTATGTAAGTATAATTGTTTGGCACGCTCTGCAGCCTGAACGGCTTGATGGATTTTAGCTTGACAGGCGTCGTTTCGTATTTACTGTGAGAGAGACACTGGTTATATAAAAATTAAAAATTTTAAAATTAAAAATAAAAGTTTTTTTAGTTTTTTACATAATATTTTTATCTACAACTAAACTATGCATGGTACTCCGGATCTGTTATGAAACGCACCAACATCGATGTAAAATGCATATAAGCCAAACTCTTTTGTGCAGACATAGGCACATCTTCTACGTCGACTTGCCCATGGGAAATGACAAGCAGGCAGCTTACTTCGAACATGGATAGCGACGTCAAACATTACAGTACGGCCAGTGAACTCATGGTTTCGATTTTTTTACAGAATTTAATTGTATAACCGCGATTAACTACGTAAATTAGTTTTACTTACCTAGTAAAAATGAGAGTTGTATCCAACACATCTCATAGATTACTACGGCCGATACATGTAAAATTTAATATATTATAATTAGAGTAGGTTTACTTTGAGGTCAGAAGTGTAACTTTATAATATAATAAACGTCCGTGGGGTCCTTGTACATCGATACTCTTGAAAGGTTTACATCCTACATTATTGCGGTGACGCCACTACTTCTTATCCCGCTCAAAGGCTAAGCATAACTATTCGGCGAGGAAATGCAGCACCCCCCGTTAAACTTATGGACAGCCCAGTACCAGTCTAGGCGTCGTCCTCGACTCCCAGATTAAATTCACCCAGCACGTGACCCAGGTCAGGAACCGGGCGGCCTTCGTACTCGGTCGCCTCTATTCGCTCCTCAATAAAACGTCAAAAATGTCCCTTATGAACAAGGTGACCTAATATAAGGCAGTAGTTCGGCCTATTATGACGTACGCGAGCCCCGTCTTCGCGCACATTGTTCCGAAGCAAATACACCGGCTTCAGGTCATTCAGAATCGATTCTTGCGCAGAGTCACGGAAACACCTTGGTTCATCCGCAATATCGACCTACATGTCGATTTAGAGTTGCCCACTACCGCTCAATTCCTGAAGTCGGCGTCGCGCCGATATTTCGAATCCGCTGCCGCGCATCCCAACCCGTTAATCGTAGGTGCCGTCACCTACAAATCCTTACCGCTTAATACGTTCCGCCGCGATTATCGCAGACCGCGACACCTTTTCGACCTCCCTGACGATGAGACGACTATCGCCATCGAAAGGATCAAAAAACTTAGAAAGCACACCAACACACACCGCACTCGCCGGCGAATGCGCCAACAATATACTAGATTCCGCCACGTACCTGACAGATTTTCCCCCATTAATGATAGAAGCGTTGCTAGAGTTTCTTCCGCCACTTCTTCTCCCAGCGCCAACGCTTTCCGAAGTGGGAGTAATGTTAGATCTAGAAATTCCCCCAGTCAGATAATAGCTACCGATCGAGCCGAAGTCCGGCCGTTTCAGGCACCCTTGAATCGGAATGCTACACGCGTGTTGAGTGACAGCCCAAGCCGAGGTCCCCTCTCGGGGACCCTTGAGCCTGATCACTCCATGGAGCGCCCGCCAAAGGGCCTTAAGAGCTTGGCGGGGGAGGCCGCCAAGCTCTTAGGGCTTAACCGGTGATAATAATAGCGTGACGGCCCGAGCCGAGGCTCCCTCGATCTTAGTCACCATGACGCGTAATAATAATACGCCGAGGTTAAGGCTAGGCGCCCCGTGCACCAGGCCACCTCAAGCCTGTCAACTGTGAAGGCCCCTAAAGCCAACAAAAACGAGGAAATACAAGTAGCACCTTGACTAGGTTTATTACATAATATGTAATTTAGTTAGTAGTAAAGTGAATATTAAAGTACTTCAGTTTTCCAGCTCGGCAAATGCATACAGGGAGTATGCCTTAATTATTGTATTGTAATTTTATTTATAACATTATCCAGTATCTGAAAATTGCATGTAAATTTTACGTTTACTATTTAATTATGATCCTATTTAAAAAAAAAAAAAAAACTTCTTTTAAAGCGAAAGGTGAAACAAATTATTTAAGCTCCTCGATTCAAAATTAAATTGCTAATTTGGTTTGGTACCAGTAGTCAGTGAAAATTTAAGAGTTTTACAAATTTATTTTGTGTACAACATAATGCCTGTCGAAAATTTACCACATTTCTATAGGGTTTCGATACATCTCGATAGCAGAAAATTATGATCCTAAAGAAATAAAAATCTGCGAGACTTATTTGGGGTTCATATAAGTATTCGATTGTCGTGTAGAAGGACTTAAACGTGAAAGTTTAAAGATAACAAAAGGATACGGAATTGATTTGTTCAAATACAGGATACGATAGCGCTTGCCCCAAAGGTTGATTAAGTTCACTGTGCGGCATATGCATTAAATTTTGTTCTAAAACATACTGAGAGGCTGTTCCTGAAGTATAAAGTTAGGTACCCTTCAAAAAGTATGTTCTTTTGGGTAGGCGGTACAAATGACTACGCAAACCCACGGAAGCTATGTCGGGATTACGCAAAGTCTTTCGCATATTTCCTTAACCCTGCCAGCGCTGGCCGCCTCAACATCCCCTCCACCGTTATTAATGCCCTCTCCATGTAAGGTGCACTGGAACATAAAGCGCACCTTCCTACTCGGCACCTTTTGTTCGTTAATGCAATCCACTTCCCCGAGCTCACTGCCCAGAGACCATGGAAGTGCTATTGCTAATAAGCAGCCAGAATTCCAGCCGCCAGATATGGACCTGGTTTGCGGTTTCGCCTCTCACCATATTTCGGCAACGGAGGGTTAGGAGAACCTTTAATGCCACTAGCAACCCCACCACTGCTGCATTAACGTTGCTACCCTGCTAAGTCACGGAGGAATGTGAGAGTGACCTCGCAATACGCACTCCTCTTCCCCTGCATAGGTAGCAGAGGATAGGGAGAGTGGCTCCACCTCTACCACCTTTGTTGTGTATCTGTTACCGGCACCCAACTTGCTCGCATGGAAATTGAGCTCCACGAGCTTACCTGGAACGGCCCTCGATGGTGGCCCTTACATCTCAGCCCAGAGTTGGTTCCTCTTAGCTTCGCCGTGGGTGACAAATCCACGTTTACTAAGCCCCTCCGTCATGACAAGGCGACAGCCTGGTTGGAGGGGAAAAAGTATGTCCTGCTAGATGGTCCGTAAGAAATTACGTTTTATCAGCTATAAGAAAAAATTATTCATGATATAACTTTTGTATAAAATTAATTAATCTCCACAAAAAGAAACGCGACAAATATAAACATTTTATTAACATAGAACAACAATTTTATACTACATCCGGCTTTTTTACTTCGCTGTTTGAAATCATTAATACTAAAGCTTTATAGCTTAAAAATGATTACTCACAGAAAGATAGTATTTTACTAAATAATCTATTAAGTAGACTGAGCGAAATAATGAATTAAACTTCATTAAATTATGTATACTAAACGAGTTCAAAATCTAGTAAAAGAGTGGGGGTAACAAATGATTGAAGATGAATATAATGAAGTTGAGAGAATCAGGCCTTGCTGTTTAAGGAATTTAATTTCTAAAACCAAAGAAATATTTCCCCTCAAATAATACATATATTTATAGGATAAACATTTTTTTTCGAAACAAAATGATTAAAAAGATGCCTAAAACTGTTGCTCTGTATTAATAAACAATTACTTTGAAAACATACTGAAAATCAGAAAATTCATTCCATTATGGAACTCATGAAATTATGGCTGACAAAATTCAATGCCCTTGCATCGTTTTCCGAAAGTAATAGCAGCATGTCTTCTATTTTTGACCCTTGAGGTTACAACTGTAACAGACGAAAATAAGTTTTTTGCAATTAAAACTTCTAACTGACATGTTGTATATATATCTAGAGGCCAAAAATCTAGATAAAGTGAAATCGTCCTTGCTATGGATGAT